ACTCTACTGACAGTGTTGTTCGTAATTTCTAAACATGTTTCAAAAATATATTCTACCTGTAATACTTCATGATTCCGTTCTATCTCGCTATATCGATTCATAGAGTCAACATTTTGTTTATCACGCAACTGTTTCTCATCTTGAATTACTGCATTTAGGTCCTCCTTGGTTTTTAGATGTTCATGTTTTTCTTCTTCTAATGACCTCTCCAATTTCAGCTTATGTTCAACGATAACTGTGAAATTATCGTATACATAACTGATTAACAAATTGGCTTTCTGCAGTCAACCCGACTGCTAATACGGTACCTTGTAATTGAGACGATAACGACTCTAGCTGATGTGTGCACGAGGATGCCGAATTACGGACGTCATCTAATTCCACTTGGGTTTCATGAAACACATACAGCACGGCAGAAAAAACAAAAACCATGCAAATGAAACCAATTAATCTCGTTTTTCCTCCTCTGGCCACCATTTTTGAAGACAATTTGTTCCTGGAAAACGAAAATTATAGTCTAGTCGCGACAATAAAACAACGTCAATATTATAAATATTGATCATTCTCATCTCTCGATCATCTTACCTTCAGTAGTTCAGTGTTTATAAAGGTAATATTACAATAAAAATCGTCAATAAATAGTTCGTATACAATATTGTCATCATCTGTGATCCATCTCCAAGGCTGTACCTGTACACACTACTTGCAAATAAAAAACGTTTAAATTATTAAAACAAATGTTTGTTTTTCGAGACAAACTGACGAACAAATGACGAATATTGTCGAATAATATTATGGTTTTTTTTTTGTTTTTATCAATACGTCGTCAAACGGTCGAACGCGAACGTCGAAAATTTGATTAACCAGACGCCAATGTGCATGAAAAAAATCTCAAAAAGTTATTACGAGATAGCGCTCCTTGCCCCGATACCGTAACAACCAACTTAGTCTTACTGTTACTAATACCCTACCCTTACGCCCTTACTATAGGGCACTATAGATACTATATGTAAAGCCTTACCCTTACATTACCTTATATAGTTATATTACTCTATTGCACGATTTAAGATAGACAGTGTTAAGAGCACGATTATAAAGAAAGAAATTCTTCAGAATTTAAAATAGATGTTAGATGGTACTATCTTAAATCGTGGTTGCTGTGCTTGCACCACAGCAGTTGCGTATGTACGGGGGTGGATATGAGGACAAATCCACCCCCATAACTCTTTAAATACATGTGTATTAATATATTATGATTATTACATCGTAATCTGTAAGCTAAAATTCTTGTCATCTGTCCGCTACAAAAAATACTAAATACGCCACTGCACCATAGACTAATGTAGAGTACCAGAGTAGGGTGGATTACTTAAGGTGACTTGCACCGTATTGGACACTAACCTATACACCACTACACAGGTTGTAGGCTGTAGCTGGCGGATATGCTGCCCGTGTAACTAACTGTAGGTAGGTATATAAATTAATTGTTATTTCTTTCTTTGTCCACTATAAACTCAAAAACTATAGAACCGTTTACAATATAAGTTATATCAATAGTTCCTTGGGACTCGAGAGGGTTTGTAGCTCCGTATTTTGACCCCTATAAGCTATAGGTCTCTATAGGGAGGCTCATACGAGTCATACATGGATGAATTTTGTTTTGGCTCACGAAAATCTAATAAAATTGTGTATTTCTGTTTCATTTATCCCCGGACAACGCCGGGTATTGAGTAATACCTTGTTCTATGGTAATACAGCTGTATATTAAATAAATAATGGTTTTTACTTGACTTTTTAGATAATATCACTGTTATCGTAGGTTTTTTTTACTTTATGGCACGGATGACGGATGTACGTCCGTGCCTTGGGGCATCTTCTTTTCTGAAACGAGTGCAACAGATGGCGCTGCTGTTATGTGAAACGGTTAATACAATATGAATATTCTGGCTTGTATACTTTATACCTGCCCCTCCTCTCATTCGATCATACAGATTACAGACTGAAACAATAATTTATCAGTTATGAGTAATAACCAATAACTTTTATGACTTGTAGTTTATACGCATTGAGCGTGTTATATTATTTGAACCACGATCAATTTACAATTATGATAAATAACGTTCTTTCTACTCGTGATCTGAACTCTTAGGTTAACATATGGAGAAATTAATTGGTTTTACTAATTGTTGTAATTTTGAATAAGTACAATTTGCACAAAAAATCCCAACAACTAACAAGTGATTGGTAATTGGTACGTCGTATGTGTATAGTCTGGGAGTAACGCAAGTGTAAAATAGGTACCTATTCAGTAATCTATGAATCAGAAGCTTCATTCAAAAGTGTGGTTGGTCATGACTGTATAATATGGGTATATTCCAATATTTTCAATTCAAAATGGCCCCAGACCCCAGCATCGTTTATAACTTACAAAGTGTTACAAATAATTTATGCACGCAAAAGTAATATTATTGAGTCAATGAGATAATATTATAGAATAGGTAGGTAACTAGTTAATTAAAATAGGCACCGTGCTAATATTAGTATTATCTCACTTATAAACCATCAAACCCATATTAATAAATCGGAGACCTCATTCAATTTACTAGGTAATTAAATATCTATTTTATAATCCAATACTTCACTCTACATCTTCAGTCTTCGCTATAATATAAAGAATTAAACATATTCAACATTACTTCTCAGTTCTCATCGCTTAGGTATTTCATTGCATGTTTGTATAATACTATAATATTGTATATTAATGTTTAAATATAAATGACTATAATATTAAGCTATACCTACCTACCAAATTATATAATACTCGTTTTACTCGTTAAACTCAATGCCAATAAAATTTTTCCTAAATTAAGAACTGATTTAGCAGAACCATATTATTATGTATTCGTAAACTTCTGTATTGAGTTTAAAATTAATCATCATAACTTTTATTTTCTCAATAATTTATAAAAAAGTCGTCACTGTAATTAATGTAATATTAATGTAATCACTGTAATTAATTGTAGTGTAATGTAATTTAGGACAATTTTTGACGGTCATACGTATTAAGCATTATTTGTATATAATGATTTAATAATTAATAATTATTATTGTTACCAAAGCTGCAAGCGCTAAATTTCAATTATACTAATTTATCCTTCACAATTGCCTCTTATTTTATTTATTTGTGATGTATAGCTATAGTTTGTTTTAGTAAAAATACTTAATTTACATATGTATAGCACTTCAGCTAACAATTTATTTTATTATATTTGCTAATTTTCTGTTATCGAACTTCCGCATAACCAAGATTGGATTGGAGGTAACCAACTACTGTTTTTACTATTCTTATTCTTACTATAATGTAATCGCACTGTTATACTGTTGGTAGTTGGAAATAAATATTATTATTATTATTATTATTATTATTATTTTATTGGGGAAAATTATCAGAATTTACAATTGACCTTTTTATTTTCTTGGGCCGAATTTACAGCATTAAAAATAATACTGGATTGATTAAAATCTTATCTTGGCTGTTTGACTTTGGTTCACTAAAATCTTACAAAACATTATAATACAAGCACTCGAGATTATTCAAATGTATATAATTTAAATTATTAAATTTATTTTTTAAATATAAAATCTGTACATTAATTTACAATAAACATAGTGCAGGTTAATAATATAATATCAGTACTTATATGAATGCCTGCAGTAATACAATGATCTCTTGAATATTTCATTTTGAGTTTACATCTGTTTTTATTTATAACCTCTAATAGGACAATAGGTTACCAGTATTATGTTACAGCTTAAAAACTATCTTATTGACTATAAATGACAATAAACCTAATAAAGTAGAATATAAAACATTTTTCATTAGGTTAAAACTCTCTCTGCTGTGTATTGTATAATAGGTTTTGACTATTTTGAATGAACTTCGTCATTGGTAATCATTGTAGTAGTGTAACAGTAATTAAAATATTACATTTAAATTTAATGATAAATCATTGTTCAGGAAAAATGATTTCGTGTTAAGATTTTAAAAGGTTAGACAGTCTTTACGACTCTACTTCAAGTGTACAATGGATTTTTATAATATATTTATAGTAATTTTAGTAATTTTTTTTTTTTTTAATAATATTAACATATTATTATACAACTGTCAACTAGTTTTTGTCAAAAACATCCTAGCTATATATTATATTATTATATTACTATGCATTAATTATTAATTTTTATAATCTTGTAATCGTATATTATATAACTATTAATTATTATTACTTATAATATTTATATATAGAACGCAGATTTTTATGCATTAAAATTAATCACAAATCACATAATATTATTCAAAAAAATTGCAAAAATATACAAAAATATGAAAAGAAAATTTTATAATAATTTTACACAAATTATTTATTTACTATTTAGTAATTATTTATTTATTAAATTTAAACTTAATACATTGATTAAATATACATAGATAGCCCACGTCAATCGGCATTATGGAAACTAGTTAATTAATAGCATAATATGTCAATAGAGGGCGTGCAGAGTCACGGTTGAAAATTAAATTATTTATGTTGGAAATAAAATATTAAAAATACCAGTGATAACAGTAGTGCCGAAAATCGTCGTCAGTTCAGAGTTCATTCTTGGAAATTTGAAATAATCATATTTAATCAATGAGATAAGAAATAATCTAAAAGATTATTATTATTATTTATTAATTATTATTATTATTAGGCTGGTTCTTATACTATGTCCGGTTAAAGTTAACCGATATATAATACAATATTATGTAACTTTTTAAAACTATTTAATTTACTTTTTTTTTCGGAATTGAAATTCCAGCTGAAGACTTATTTATTTATTATACATTGAACTATTTAAGTCGTTTATAATAAATTACCTTATAATTAATAATATAGAAGTAAAGTATAATAAAATACAATTAAAAAAAAAAACACATTGATTGTATACTTAACTAAATTTGATCAAACATTTTTTAATATTTTTAACTTTGATAAGGTTTGAACTTTCATATTTCTTGATTTCCAGTTAAAATCTCTTAACAATTTACATTCAATAAGATGCATTGTAACAAATTCTAAATGAGATGTACATTCTGAATCAATATCAAGATTGGGCCATATTTTTTTAACAATCAACTTTTTAACACTTAATCCAATTTGTAGTTTATGAGGTGTTTTTAAAACAATTTTAGCCAGTAATTTTTGACAATGTGAAATATAATTTGTAAAATCATCTGTTGGTACATTCAAGCCAAAGTGACCTGATTTTGATCCATATGCTCTACAAAAAATTAAATAATCTTCATCACTAAAATTAATTGGTGTGGCTGTTAGCATAAATTGTTGACATTTTTTACAGTTAAATTTTTCAATGCATTTTTTACCCAAATATCCACTAAAATATTTATCAGAGCATTTAGACAGAGATACCATAGGAATTTCAATAGATTCATCATCATCAAATGAAAAAGACAAAGATGAACTATCCATTAAATCATCATTGTTGTCATTATTTTCCAATACATTTGTATATGAATCAACTTCTAAGATATTATGGTCATTATCGGCCTCACAGTTTGAAGCTATTGAAGGTTTCATCAGATGCATTTTTGTCATCATTTTGAAAGTTATTCTAAAAGCCCTTGCAGTTGGATTATTATTATATCCACCCTTTTGCCGAAAAACTGAAAATGAGTTTTCAATAGCATCTTGATTTAAGCGAGCAGTTAACAAGTAATGAAAACCGATTTTCTTTTGTTCTTCATACACACCCAATATTGCATTTATTGTCCACTCTAAACCATCAAAAGTATATGGCCGACCATGGCCTTTACATTTTTTCAACTGTGAACACCAACGTTTAGCTTCTTCCAATTGCAAACGTATTAGTGGTCTTTCTTCAGAAATAGCACATTTATAAGGATTTGAACAATAAAGAGATTGACTATTCAAACAATCAAATAAGTTATTTATTTCTTTTACAAACTCGGCAGTATGGGCGGCAGTGGGCGATTTTAACTCTTGTGTCATAATACAAGTACGCATAGTGGCAAACATTGACTTGCTAAATATTTGTAAGGCCAGTTTACATGACATTTTTTTAAAAGGGCCGGGATTAATATGAGAGTCAGTAATTTTTAAAAGAGAACGAGAAGTTGAACTACTTTTATCAATCATATATGTTTTTTTTATATCTTGAAAAGAAACTTTATTATTTTTAAATATAAAATCACTACTTAAAAAATTATTTCTTATATTTTTTATAAGATGTGGAACGTCATAAACTGAAAATATTTTATTTCCATTCACTTCAATCCAGGGTTTGTCCTTAGTAAAACCAAGTTTGGTTAAAGCAGATCTATTGTTAGGTCCTTGATCACATACAATTGCTTTCACATGGAGCTTACAAGTCATCAACTGATTAATCTGTTCTAAAATTATTTCTGAAAGAGTAGTGGCTTTCATCGATGTAGAAGATAAAAAATATGATACTGGTAATTTCCACGATGAATAAATTCCTCTTATCATAAAAACCATAGCTTGACTTGCCATAGCTGAAGTCCTCCCAAAAGTTCCTAAATCCTCAAAACCTTCTACAGTATCTAAAACCTTTGAATACTCTAAAAATCGTTTAATTTTCATTTCATCAAATATTAAGGTGCAAAATGTTTCTTCATATGTCATTGAGCTAACTTTCATTTTTATTTGTTGATATAAATTAGAATTAAAACCAGGCCTAAATTTAGAAGCACCAACCCAACGTTTAATTGTTGCTAAACCAGGTAAATTAATTTTTGTTGATCTTAAAAATTTGTAAGCTGATGGAGACTTGTAATAAAGTCTAAGGGAAAAATCTTTTTCAAGGTTTGTCCATGGTTTTCTACTGATGTTTTGACGGATTTGCATTTTAACCAGAGTTTGAGAATCGGTTGATGGAAAACTTGAAGAATTAAAAATATTTTTGTTTTTAAATAAATGTCTTGAATTTTTAAGATTTTTTTTAAGTTTTGCTATGGTTGAACGTTTATTTGAAATCACTTTTTGTTTAAATTCCATTCTTTCTTTCATTTTTTTAATGTAATTTGATTGTTTTTTTGTAGTTTCTGTTAGTTTCTGAATTTGTTTTTCAAAATTAGATGAAGATTCTGGCATATTAAGTGTACTATCTAACCATGATCGAGTTTTTGGAGTTAAAATTGGTGTGTTATCTTTTGATCCTATTGTTAAATTAGTTTTTGTTGGTGTTAGCAAATGAATAGATTTTGGCGATTCAAAGTTAAGACAACATGAATCAGAATTATCAATAAATGATAATTTTTGTTTGACTGGAGTTTTAAATGATGAAGGTGAAAGAGGAGTTGATTTATAATTTGAAATTGAAGATGGATCTAAATTGCACATATTCTCAGAAGATTTATAAGGATATGTGTAGAGTTTTTTTGGTGAGCGTACATGAAACGGCACTACAGGTTCATACGGCACTGGTACAGCACTACGCTTTAAAATTTTTTTTGAGAAATTTAAATAATCATCAGCTAAAAAGTGATCAGAACAAATTTTTTTTTTCCTTAAATCTTCAATTTCTAAATGTATAAGATCAGTGTTTCCTGTAAAAAAAGGTAAAAATATTGACAGTCATAGAAATTATAATATTAAATATTATGAAATTCAAACAATTAATTTCTTTGGATTGAATAATATCGAATAATAACTTTAACTATTCATATAAATTATATTTGGTTTAACATAATTTGGTAAAATAAAAACAAAATAAATTGATGTAGATAATATATATTAAATTTTAGATCCTGAGCGGATCAAATATAAAGTGTAATTGTTGTATTATAAAATATCCTGGGTTAACATATTATTTTGGCTCAGTATTGGTTTTTTGATATTATCATTAATTACCCACCTATATATACAATAAAATAAAAAGTATTTTAAATATAATCAATGATAGATACAATGATATATCATTGAAATCAAACTTAACACACCCATTACAGTGATCCACTCAATGCTCTACAGCGGAGTGGTAGTGTGGTACACACCATTGGTTTTACTGATAATTTTGAAAAATATTTGAAACTATCAATGTTGACAAACTACACTCAATTTTTAACTAGAAACTTCCCTCAAAGTTAAATATCGAAGAATTTTTACTGCTATAAAATGTGTACACATACTCATAGAAAAAAAACACATACAGGTATACAGCATAATATAGCATATTGAAGTATAATTAAAATTAATTTAATTAATTTAAATTAATTATTCAATTTAAATTTGTTTTACAATGTATTGCAACAAAATATATGGGTATCTCGAATTTACCAGAATTTTTAATCCATTGTCTCGATCTTTCTAAATCTTTTGGAAATCCAAATAAACTTAAGTTAGCATTATGTCTTGGATTCTTCCCACATAAATAATAAACACATTTGTTTCCACGAGACATTTTGATGTTAACGTTATAACAGATAAACTTCCAGACTACGACTCAGTTTCAACTTCAAGAGTTAATGCTTATTCCCAAATTCCAGGTTCAGTTATTAGTTATTACTTATTGCAAGTTAACAATTATCATTCAATACCCGACAATTGACAAACCGCAAACATTCGGAAATCTTTATTATATTGATTTAGAATCATATTATTCATATTTTCTCTAATCAATATTTTATAATCTTATCATCCACATTGTAAAATTCGAACCTTTGGTCGAGTGATCCTAGTTGCAAAAAGGTTAAAATTTAAAATCAAATCACCACCTGGTGGCAGAAATCCAGAACTAAAATATTTCAGATCCAAATCCATTCAAAAATCGATGCCAATAAATCACACGGCGTGGGCTATCTATGTATATTTAATCAATGCTTAATACAAAACAATATTTTTTTAAGTAAAATGGCATATAGTAAGATTATGAACAATTAAGTTCACTTCTTATTAAAAACGATGTAATTGATATTAATATTTCCAAGAAATTATAGGTTCGTAGTTGACAAAGTTTATAATTTTAATTGTATACTCAATAAAATTGATAAAATATTATTTTAAGCCTATATATGAGATTTTTAAAACAGTATATAATTTGATTTTACTTCAATATTCAATGAAGCAGCTAATAGCCTTAGACGCCTAAGCTTTAGTAAATAAAAAAAAAAATACATGCAATAAATATTCATAAGACATAAATACACAAAAAGTGCAAACGAAATTCAAAACTAATATTATAATATTATTTTAATAATAATTAATAATTTTATTCTTTTAAGCAACTATAGCCCGATATATCAAGCATTTAGCAAATTACCATTTCCAGCGTAGTTAGGCGAATTTATAAAAAAAAAAAATAAAGAAAACAGATCAATGACCTTACTATTAATTTATTTGGCTACTGGCATCATGCCTAAAATATCGTTACAAAGATATATTTAGTATTTAACGATATTTGAACTTTTACAATATTATAATACATAAATTTAAAGACGGCGCTTTAGTTAGGCAATTCAGGGCCATATTATATTTTATTATTGTTGAATAGAATATAGGTTTTATACCTATATAGTATATATTATTAATTATTATATATTAATGACTAATAAGTGATAATATTCCGATCGCCTGTAAACAGTTACACACCGGTATACATAAATTATAAATACGGTATTGTTTTACATAGGTAATTCAACATTAATTACCTATCGTCACTTGTTTTATAATCTGTTACCGATTTTCTCGAGAGTTTTGATTCTATTAATAATTGGTCGAATAATTTCCACCCCACTGTCCACGTGTACGTTCATACCTTACAAAGTTGTGTACACCAAGTGGTGCAATGACTAGAACGCAAAATTCTAGTGAAACGTGTCTTGTACGTATAATTGCACTCATCGCCAGTTTCCGGTTCGTAACTCGTTCCCGAGGATTACGCACCGCGATCGGTGCTCCAAGGTAAGACGCATTTTGGCCACCTTATTATTCTCAGGTATTCTTGGAACAGACTTCCACGACTGCCGATTAGATTTAAATTAAAATTTTTTTTTATTATGTTTACAATTTAGTTGAATTTACACATACAATAATTGTATAATGCGTAGATATGTTCACAATATAGATTTGTAAAATCAAAGTAAAAACATTAAAAACCCTTAGGAACATAAATTAATTCTACGATTATTATAGTGAAACACTGAAACTTAAATAATATAATATAACGATATGTCTATGTAATAACTTATGTAATGTATTATAATATGTCATATTATTATGAAAATAATTATACAATAATAATAATATATAATTTATATTATGAACAAAGATTTATTCCTCGGGTTCATTTCTTGGACGATGGTCATTCGCGTTGAAAACGTAGGAATATAATAATAATATTATTCATGATAAAATTGTTGACAAGCGACGATCGCGTACAATTCATCGGTGTTGAAGCCGGATGACGAAAAGATATTGCTATTTCTACGCCATCTGTCGTCTAGGCTGGTCTTCCGGGCCAGTCCGACAGGTGTCTCTGCGGTGTTGTCGAGGACGACCAACACGGACGGTACACGCGCGCGCCCTCCTCCGCTGTGGCCGCGGCACCGCCACCGCAGCCGCCACCGCCCAGTCATCACCGACACCGACACCGAGGGAAGCCATTGCTGTTCGACTGGCTCTCACGTTTTTGTGTGCGCGTCGCAGCAACGAGTTGAGGCACTTCGGCGTCATTGTCGACCGACAGCCGTGGTGTGTACGCTGCTCACTTTTCGCCAGGGGGGTCGTCGTCGTCGCTCAGTTTTTTTTACTCCCCCCCAACGCACACGTCGTCATCGTCGTCGCGCTTGTCGTAAGTATAACACAAATAATAATAATATACTAGGTATACACTACATAATTTTAGTATATTATAATTTATAATATAATATTTATTAATATTATATACACACATTACGCGTTACAGTTGTGTCCCGGTAGTAATGATGTTATCATAACAATAATAATAATAATAATAACGTGTACACTATGCACATAATATGTTATGTACATTGTACCTATATGATAGTGATGTCGATTATACTAAACGGATATCGTATAATGTCCGACCACGTTAGTAGGAGGTAGTAGGTACCTATAATACCTATTATAAAACGGCGTACTAGTGTACACACTCCAAGTGAGTGTGGTTTACGCGTGTGGGGGCAGTGGGGCACCGAATAAAATCGAAGGGTAGATCGGCGGCGGTGGTGGTGGAGTTGTATGTGGTCGCTAAACGTGTTTGGGGGAGGGGGAGCTTTAGGTCGGAAGGTTTAATGAGTCCGTCGTCACCTCCACGATATTTGGGGGTTTGTAGTTTGGTCTCTCTGCACTATAATATTGTCTATTACCACATATTATTATCGATATTAAAACATACTGTACACAGATATCGTTTGTTACGCATAAATTATTGGTTACTGTCGGTAACGTCCTGTCTTACGACTACAACGCGGCGGTGGGTATGGGTTCCGAGTTCAACGACGGGGTCGATATACCTATACTGTACCTACACACGCACTCGCTCACTCTCGTCATAATCGTAAGTCACATAAATGCCCCTAAATGTATGTAATATATGCTTTGTGTGGTGTGTGTGAGTGTGGTTTTCGTACCACAACAATGTACTTCAGCACGACGGTCGCCCTTTAGAGTTTAGACTTACTACGAGTGTGTGTAATGTGTATACACATTATCCCTCTTTGGGTATCGTATCGAAACTTTTCCGAGTGTCGTTGACACCGAGTCTTCGACGACTACGGCGGCGGCGATGGCGGTCGGTGCCTGCCCGCCGTATATAATATAGTTTATCGTGACCTTGAACGGAATTGATGTAACGATGTCAACGTTCGTCCGAATCCGTAGTCTTCATAACCTAATTGTATTTACCGAGTTTTCGTGCCCGCCCCGATACATAATAATAATAATAATATTATGTAGACATGAAGTGACCATAGTGAGCGTGTCCGCTGTTTTTTTCGTTTCTCTCTCTCTCTATCTTTTGTCTCTATTTTCCGCCCCTCTCCGGTTTCGATTCGCACCCCTCGCCGCCGGACATTCGATTTGTCCTGGCACCAATATTAATTATTATTTCATCGCACCGTGCGTGTATGCTCGAATACTTTTTAATATATATTATGAGTGCGTGCGTGAGTGTGCTCCGAGATTACGTCGGGGCGTCGAGGATGAGGCTTACGTCACCAACGCCGCCGCCGCCGCGAACGATACATAATATTACGCACCCACACCGCGAAATAACGCACCCACGGCCGCAGCCAAGTCGTCGTCATCGTCATTACTCTACACAATGTCCGGCCGATATCGCGCGCCCTGGACGACGGGCGAATAATAATACGTGTACCAACGACGGATATCGGAATACGTCACCGTCGTCCGTAATTTTATCGACTTTACCCGGCCAACGAGACTGCGGGAGTATCCGATTTCACGCGTATATAATATTAAAATAATCACAGCTCTCGCCTCTTGCCCCGCGGATCGTGGTCCGAGAGACGGCGACGATAGTTTTCTCGGCGATGGCCGATGGATCGCAGCGAACTACTTTTGGACTTCACTGTCGCCGGAGAAATCTGTCCGGCGACACCTGTCACGCGACCGCTCGTCTAAAACCGCCGGGGACAACGACATGTCAAACAATAACAGAGAATGACAACAATACGCGAAGGTTTTCCGCGCTGTCCCTGCCTGCATCCCCTTCGTGTGTAGTGTGTGTACGCGAGAATATCTCACTAGTTCGAATGGGGTCGTATTCGGATTACCCACCTCTCAGCACGTCCGTCGTCCACTCGGCCATAATAATATTATATTATTTTACTATTATTATATTCGGTACGTTTTCCGCTCGCTCGGATATGCTCGGACTCGTCGTGTATGTGTCATCAGATTAAAAGTCGCTGACGGGGTGGCATCGACGGTAGCGTCCCGCAACTCGTTCGACACTCGCGCGCGCGCCGCCGACACACCTCGCCCGCGGTAGCCTCAACAACCTCGCGCCGACAGAGTAGGCCGCGAAAACAAGTTTCGCGCTTTTACAACGACGACGGTGATTAAAAACCAATTAGACGCAATATTTTTAGTCGACCGCGGTGGCGGCGGCATGACGACGTGTACGCAAGGTGGACGGTGCGTATTCGTAAGGGCCAGCGCACTCTATCGTTTCGTCGTCGCAACGTCGTCACGCCAAATACGCAGTCTTTGTTAAAATACTTTAATGTGTGTGAGTGTGTGTGCGGATAAAATGTACAAATGACGTATCGACGTAGACGGTATACTAATGTTATATTTTACTACTACTACTACAACTCCAACAGGCTACAATACTACTACTACTACTACTATTACTATTACTACTACTACTACAACTCCCGTGTACGGCAACTTATCATTGCGCCGCCGATAATGGTA